GGCTGTCTGCCAGTGTGATCCTCCAGGTCCTGGTCTCGTTCTCTGATGCAGGACTGGCTTGCAGGATCTCCTGGAACATGTCATCCCAAGTCCTCTTCTTTTCCCTCTTTGTCTGGCTTAGTCATTCTGAGGGTGTGGAGGTGGAGATACTGATGGCTACAATGTCAGCAGCTGCAGACACAGCACACGTAGGCACCATTGTCAGTGTATTCATGACAGAAACTGAAACGTAAGACACTGAACTCCCCTCATTCCCCAAAAGTTGCAAGCACCACATTTTCACTTCTGTTTGGGATTGACAGAACGTGGGGGAGGGAGGCAGAGCGGAGTGTTGGGAAAATGAGGGTGGAATAGCTTGCTGGCATAATTATGGTTGTATAGGGCAATAGAACTGAATACCGGCACCATTTGACACAGGTAATTTTAGCTGATATCTCACTCCTGAGGGTAACAGAGGCAGAGAAAGCACAGCTGGTGCTGGCGCCCTGATGCTCCCTGGGCACATATGCTGCTATCCTGTGTATTGCAATGGTGCCTGAATTGCTGAATGGTGTGGGAAAGTGTCGTTCCGCAGCAGAAGAAATAAGGCAGCCCTCCCAGAAACCTACAGCAGAGAACTGCAGAAAGTTTCATCTAGAATCCTATGAAGGATTCATAGGACATCCTGGTCCACATAAACAAACTGCTCTGTGTGGCCCCCTCTGCCTAACCCTAGAGGGGAATGAAAAGTAGATAGCAACTCTACTTCTCTTAATTTTTTCATTACCTTTTCTAGCACAAGTAAAAGAAGAGTAAATTAACAGATGTATCCTGCTACTTCGGGGGTTCCATATATGTAATTTCCAAGCAAACTGCATACTTACCAGAGGTTCCTTCCCCTGCATGAGGCTCACCCTCAAAAACATGTTCTAGCTCGCTGTGCAGCTGGATTTCCCCAGTCGCCTGTCTCCAATACTCCTCCTCCTCTTCTTCCCTACTCAAGGCAGGGGCCTGTGATTCGGGCTCTTCGGAAGTACTCACGGTGCTGTTGGACATGGTGGTGGGGTCTCCAACGAGGATGGCTTGCAGTTCTATGTAAAAGCGGCTGGTCTGCAGGTCAGCATTGGATCGATTGTTGGCCTTCCTGGCCTTCTGGTATGCTTGCTCAGCTCCTGGGCTTTCATGCGGCACTGCTGCTGGTCCCTGTCATACCCCTTCTCCTGCATCCCCTGAGCAATCCGCTCGTAGATGTCCACGTTTCTACTGTTGGGTTGGAGCTGTGCCTGCACAGCCTCTTCTCCCCACAGGCCCAGGAGAGCCGATACGTCCTGTGTACTCCAGGCAGGAGCACATCTGCAGCGTGTAGCTGGCATGGTCGGCTGGGCAGTTGCACTCCACAATGGAGAGTTGCTAGGTGTACTCACCAAGTTGGGCATCCACAAAAAGGAATTTCAAAAATTTGCGGGGCTTTAAAGAGGAGTGATGGCTTTCTGTCTACCTGACCCCGGGACCCCTAGCGGAATTCACAACAGGGTCCAGAGCTGTCAGTGTGGGGCATTGTGGGACAGCTCCTGGAGGCCAGTAACAGCTGACATAAGTAACACAGTATCTACTCTATCACTGTGTCGACCCGATTACATTGACCATGACCTAAGTTGCTTGGGGAGGTGTAGTCTGACCACAGGCCATTTGACCATTGTGTAATCTACTCCTGCTCAGAGCAGGTCTAAGGGCTTCTTTACACTTACATTTTATAGCGCTCTAACTTGCTGGCTCTGGGGCGTGAAAAATCACCCCCCTGAGAGCAGCAAGTCTGAGTGCTTTAAAGTGCCTGTGCAGACAGGCTTCAAGTGCTGGGAGCCGCGCACCAAGTGCTCGGAGCTCATCCCCTCATGGAGGTGGATTACAAGGAGCGCTGGGAGAGCTCTCTCCCGGCGCTCGCCCGCAACCACACTCGCACTTCAAAGCGCTGCCGCGGGAGTGTTCCTGTGGCAGCACTTTGAAGTTTCCAGTGTAGCCATGCACTAGATGACACGGCCATCTGTATTACAGTTTCCACTATTGCTAGCATCCATGCTAGACCAATGGTGACAGACCTGTCTAAATGTTTAAGTTTCTCTGTTTTTTAGGTCCTGTTAATACTTTAGGCCTGGCCTACACTAGAAAATTAAAATGGTTTAACTACGTTGATCAGGAATGTGAAAAATCCACACCCCAGAGCAGCATAATTCAGATGACCTAAGTCCCTGTGTAGACAGAGCTAGGTTGATGGAAGAATTCTTTCATCAACCTAGCTACTGCCTTTTGAGGAGGTGGATTATCTATGCAGAGGGAAGAACCAGTCCCGTCCGTGTAGCTATTATCTATATTGAAGCACTACAGTGGCACAGCTGTGCTGCTGTAGTGTTTTAAGTGTAGGCAAACCTTTAGTATAACTTTGATACGGTTACTGGCCTAGTGGATGAGAATAAGCAATAGACATAGAATCATAGAATCATAGAATATAAGGGTTGGAAGGGACCCCAGAAGGTCATCTAGTCCAACCCCCTGCTCGAAGCAGGACCAATTCCCAGTTAAATCATCCCAGCCAGGGCTTTGTCAAGCCTGACCTTAAAAACCTCTAAGGAAGGAGATTCTACCACCTCCCTAGGTAACGCATTCCAGTGTTTCACCACCCTCTTAGTGAAAAAGTTTTTCCTAATATCCAATCTAAACCTCCCCCACTGCAGCTTGAGACTATTACTCCTCGTTCTGTCATCTGCTACCATTGAGAACAGTCTAGAGCCATCCTCTTTGGAACCCCCTTTCAGGTAGTTGAAAGCAGCTATCAAATCCCCCCTCATTCTTCTCTTCTGCAGGCTAAACAATCCCAGCTCCCTCAGCCTCTCCTCATAACTCATGTGTTCCAGACCCCTAATCATTTTTGTTGCCCTTCGCTGGACTCTCTCCAATTTATCCACATCCTTCTTGAAGTGTGGGGCCCAAAACTGGACACAGTACTCCAGATGAGGCCTCACCAATGTCGAATAGAGGGGAACGATCACGTCCCTCGATCTGCTCGCTATGCCCCTACTTATACATCCCAAAATGCCATTGGCCTTCTTGGCAACAAGGGCACACTGCTGACTCATATCCAGCTTCTCGTCCACTGTCACCCTTTTCCGCAGAACTGCTGCCTAGCCATTCGGTCCCTAGTCTGTAGCTGTGCATTGGGTTCTTCCGTTCTAAGTGCAGGACTCTGCACTTATCCTAATTGAACCTCATCAGATTTCTTTTGGCCCAATCCTCCAATTTGTCTAGGTCCTTCTGTATCCTATCCCTCCCCTCCAGCGTATCTACCACTCCTCCCAGTTTAGTATCATCCGCAAATTTGCTGAGAGTGCAATCCACACCATCCTCCAGATCATTTATGAAGATATTGAACAAAACCGGCCCCAGGACCGACCCTTGGGGCACTCCACTTGATACCGGCTGCCAACTAGACATGGAGCCATTGATAACTACCCGTTGACCCCGACAATCTAGCCAGCTTTCTACCCACCTTATAGTGCATTCTTCCAGCCCATACTTCCTTAACTTGCTGACAAGAATACTGTGGGAGACGTGTCAAAAGCTTTGCTAAAGTCAAGAAACAATACATCCACTGCTTTCCCTTCATCCACAGAACCAGTAATCTCATCATAAAAGGCGATTAGATTAGTCAGGCATGACCTTCCATGATATAGCCTGATTTTAGTAAGTCTTTTTACACAATCCCATGACATTCTCATAACCAAACTAGCGAAATGTGGTCTATATGAAATTACTATAAAGTGGACACACATCTTGTTGAAACACTATACTCAAAGAGTAGTTATCAATGGTTTGTTGTCAAACTAGGAGGACTGTGTATATTTCTTGAGCTCCCACAAGGATCTGTCCTGTACTATTCAATATTTTTATTAATGACTTGGATAATGGAGTGGAGAGTATGCTTATAAAAATGACTTTGACAAATTGGAGAACTGGTCTGAAATGAACAAGATGAAATTCAACAAAGACAAGTGCAAAGTGCTTCACTGACGAAGGAAAAATCACATGCACAACTACAAAATGGGGAATAACGAGCTAGGCAGTAGTATCGCTGAAAATGATTTGGGGGTTACAATGGATCACAAATTGAATATGAGTCAACAATGTGATGCAGCTGCAAAAAAGGCTAATATCATTCTGGGATGGAAAGAGGAACGTTGAATGTAAGACCAGATATGTAATTTTCCTGTTCTGCTTGGCACTGGTGAGGGCTCAGCTGGAGTACCGTATCTAGTTCTGGATGCCATGCTTCAAGAAAAAGGAACAAATTGGAGCGTCCCAGAGGAGAACAGCAAAGATGATAAAACGGTTTAGAAAATATGACCTATGAGGAAAGGTTAAAAAATCTGGGCATGTTTAGTCTTGAGAAAAGAAGCCTGAGGGGGAACCTGATAACAGTCATCACATATATTAAGGGCTGTTCTAAAGAGCATGATGATCAATAGTTCTCCATGTCCACTGAAGTAATGGGCTTAATTTGCAGCAAGGGTTTAGGAAAAACTTTCTAACGCTAAGGATAGTTAAGCATTGGAATAGGTTTCCATGGGAGGTTGTGAAACCCGTCAGCGGAGGGTTTTAAGAATAAGTTAGCAAAACACATGTCAGGGATGGTGTGAATTTACTTGGTCCTGCCTCAGCACTGGGGTCTGACCTTGATAGGGTTGCCTGGGGTCCAGTTTTTGACGGGAAAGTCCGGTTTTAAGGGGACCCGTACAGTCTCTGGTCAGAAGTATTGACCGGACACCAAAAGTCCAGCCACCGCAAATCTGTTGTGCCCCTGCTCCCACCAGCCCAAAGCCCCTTTAGCCCCCAAGCGCTGGCCCCAGAGCCAGGGAGGGGCAGAGCTGGAGGCACCTCTGCCGCTAGTCCCCTCCCAGCCTGGCTGGGGAGGACGCTTCTTCTGTACAGGCTGCTGCCCGGGGCCTGGTCAGACATACCTCCAGGAACCACCCACGGCTGCAGGAAGCTCCCTGAGAACTCTGCCTCGAGCTGCTGCTGGCCGGAGCAGGAGAGACACGGTCCCCCTTCCGCCTCCCTCTTCTCTTTATGGTGAGTTGAGCCTTGGGGTGGGGGTGCTCGGTTTTGAGACGTTGGGAAGTTGGCCACCCTAGGTCTGGACGAGTCCTCAGCGTCCCTTCCAGCCCTCCAGCTCCAGGAGGCTGGAGTCACAGACCGGGTCGAGCGGCACTGCCCCTCGGTGCGAATAGCTGCTGTGGCTGAGACCGAAGCCTGCACTGCCACGTCCAGTCAAGTCGGGGGGCCCCTGACTGGCCTGTACTCGGGGGGAGACTGGCCCTCAGTTTCCCCAGCTGGACGTGGTGGGCTAATAACACCGCATAATAACGCAGCCTGTAACGTTAATCGGTAAAGCAAGTGGTGCCGGGGCCCCTTGGCACTGAGAGCGGCCGCAGAGGCCAGGGCTCCGCGCAGCAAAGCGCGGCTGGTCCGGGCTGCCCGCGGTCTGCACTTCCCGCCTTAGCAGCAGCCCGGCGCCTAGCGGGGCGCGTTGCCCGGGGCAGGCAGCGGCGCTCTGGCTGGGACGCCCCCCGGTGACGCCCGGAGCCTCGGCAGGACGCGGGCGCTTTGCCGCCGCCGTGCAGGCGGCTCCTTCCTGGCTGGCAGCCCCAGAGGCTCGGCCCCGGGGCCCGCTCCCTGCCCGGGCGCCTCTGCTGTTCCCGGGGCGCTCGGCGCTTCCCCTCCCTGCCCAGGGCGCTTCTCCTCCCGGCCCGCGCGTGAAGCGCGTCTCCCTGTCAGGCCGGGTTTCTCCCCCTTGGCCGCTCCCCGCTCCGAGGCGCTGCCAGCACCGCAGGAGCCGGTGAGAGAGCGAGTTCCCGGGCTGGGGGTGGCGGGTGGGTGAAGCCCTTTGGTGCTGAGAGGGCGCCGCTGAACCTACAGCGAGGCTCTGTCGCTAGGGCACCCCCCCGCCTCTGCCCAGGCCGGGCCGGGCCAAAACCACCGCGACTTCTTCAGCTAGCCCGTCCGGCAGCCCCCCGCCCTCGCCGGGAAGGCGGAACGCTCCTGGGCCCCGCCGAGCGAAGCAGGGGCAGGAGGCGGCTGGCTCGCCGTGGAGCAGAGAGCCCCGCGGCCGCGGTCCCCTGTGCGAGCGCAGATCCGTGGAGATGTATTCGCTCGTAGAATCCGAACTGATTTGAGACAATATGCTGCTTGCCTGTCTCAGAGCCCGTAAGCAAGGTTTTCAGTGTGTATGAGCCAGGGGAATCCCCCCGGACCCCCGCCCCAGCTCACTATCAGTTTCCTAACTGCTCATTCCGTAATTTCCCCGGCACAGATGATTCATTTTTTCTCCTTTCAAAGTTTGTCTTCCACTTACCGGATCGATAACCTTCATTTATACTATGACACACTATTGAACAGCTGGTAGCTCTGAGACCTCATTGTGACTGTCTTTGCTGAGCCTTTGCACCCTAGAAATGTCACAGAATCAGACTGGCTTATAGAAGGGCTCGTTTAGGGGTGGGCAAACTTTTTGGCCCGAGGGCCACATCTGGGTATGGAAATTGTATGGGGGGCCATGAATCCTCACGAAATTGGGGGTTGTGGTGTGGGCTCCGGCTGGGGGTGCAGGCTCTGGGGTGGGGCCAGAAATGAGGAGTTCAGGGTGCGGGAAGGGGCTCTGGGCTGGGGTTGGGGTGCAAAGGGGAGGGGAAGGGCTCCAGCTGGGGGTGTGGGCTCTAGGGTGGGATTGGGAATGAGAGGTGGGGGGTGCAGGAGGATGCTTTGATCTGGGACTGAGGGGTTCAGAGGGTGGGAGGGCAATCAGGGCTGGGTCAGGGGGGTTGGGGTGCAGGAGGGGGTCAAGGGTGCAGGCTCTGGGCAGCACTTACCTCAAGCAGCTCCCAGAAGCAGCGGCATGTCCTCCCTTGGGCTCCTATGTGGAGGCGCAGCCAGGCAGCACTGCATGCTGCCCCGTTCACAGGTGCTTGGGCGGGGGCAGCGTGTGAAGCCCCCTGGCTGTCCCTACATGTAGGAGCCAGAGGGGAGACATGCTGCTGCTTCCGGGAGCCACACAGAGTGGGGCAAACCCCTGACCCCACTCCCTGCCTGGAGTGCTGGAGCGGGGCAAGCACTAGACCCCGCTCCCCAGTGAGAGCTTCAGGGCCAGATTAAAACATCTGGATGGCCGGATGCGGCCCCCAGATCTCAGCTTGCCCACCCCTGGGCTAGTTTATTCAGGCCAGCGAGTGCCATGCAACAAGGAATATAACATACCCCAAGGCTCTGGTATGTTATATTCTCCTTAAAACCATTGTAACGGCAGCAGGAATGGTCGCTTACTAAGAAATTTGGATTGCAGGTCCCTTATTCACCAATTCAGAAATGCTAACTTCTTGACTGCATATTATCCATTGGGCAGCGAATCGGTGCTGTTAAAGAGATTTAAACTCCCTTGCCTCTTCTAGTGTTCCCCTCAAGTCTGCAGTTCACACAGAGCCTCTGAGTATTCTTCCCTCTTCAGTCTTTAAAGTCTCAATTCAGCAAAGTGCTCACGAGTATGCATAATTTTAAGCATATGTTTAAATGCTTTGCTGGCTTGAGGCCTAATATAAAGTAATGAGAATTGTTTTTTTCTAGTTTCATCTGGAAACCTGTCATTCCCTGTTATTAACATGTCACTTAGTCTGGTGAGTTTTCCTGTATTCTTCAGATATCGGACCTGATGTTTTATTGACAGGAAATGTTCCCTTGGTTAGTTCTAGTACCAAATTTTAAAAATAGTTTTTTTCATTGCTTTCTGAACATCACAACTTCTTCCTCTTTTTTGAAAGAATCTCTTTTTATAAGACAAATGCCAGTGGAAACAATTCCCTCCCACATTTTTCCTGATTGTGACATGAAGATGGTTGCAGATAACGTGGCTCAGGTGCTACAATTTGCTAGCATGAGTGGAAGAAACCCAAGAGAAGCATTCAGGTCTAGCAGTCTGAGATTGAGTGTGTCTTGCCTATGAGGAACAACTATTAGTCACAAGTCCAGATATTATGAAGTATTTTGCATACCACTCTGTACCTTAACCTCCCTGAACACTCTTCTGCCTATTTCAAAGAATAGTTTGAATCAAGAGTGGAAACTCTTAAAATGTGCTGCTAAGAAGGAAAAACAACAGCAGCAGCAACAAAACTGTGCTACTAAAGGAATGGATGAGAAAGTGAGGTTTAAATAGAGTAGATATTAAATGGTGCCCCTGATTCTGTATCAGAAGTTCCACTCATCATGCTGGTGTGATCTGCTAAAAAGGAATAGGATTTAAGAACCATAAATTGTCAGATTTCAGTTTCAAAGCTTAGGTAGCTGTCCACATTTTCACTACCCTTTTCAAAGGCTGTCTATGATTTTTTGTATCTCACCGGGTTAGGATGCCTGCCTCTAGAGAAAAAAAGGTTCAGCTAGAAGATATGCAACCTGATATAAACACAAAGAATTAAACAACGAACAAATCTTGCATTAGTTTTTATGCATAATCTCTGAGTCTTTATATTCAATTCAGGATAGAGTATGGAACCTTATTATTCATGTAACTTTTGTTTTTTAGCTCAGTGGTTCTCAGCCTGGTGTACACATACCCCTGGGGGTATGCAGAGGTCTTCCGGGGGTACATCAACTCATATAGATATTTGCCTTGTTTTAAAAAGCACTAGCTAAGTCAGTACAAACTTAAATTTTATACAGACAATGACTTGTTTGTACTGCTCTATGTACTATACACTGAAGTATAAGTGCAATATTTATATTCCAATTGATTTATTTTATAATTATATGGTAAAAAGGAAAATAAGCAAATTTTCACTAATAGTGTGCTGTGACACTTTTGTATTTTTATGTCTGATTCTGTAAGCAAGTAGTTTTTAAGTGAGCTGAAACTTGGGTTACGCAAGACAAATCAGACTCCTGAAAGGGGTACAGTAGTCTGGAAAGGTGAGAGCCACTCTTTTAGCTAATTACTGGTTTGAGTGTAGGCAACTTTCACATTTCTTCCCTAGCTAACCGGACGTGACTCAAACAGGGAAGAACAAGTGGTCCCAGCACTTCAGGAAATCAGGTGCTTCAATGTACATGCTGTGATTTCACTCATGGGAATAGGACATTTATGTAAGGCTACAAAGTGGAGGTACCACCTTGGAAAAGGTAGCAGACTTTGGGCCTGCTCCTGATGAATGTAATGGAAGTTCTCCTTTGAATTTCAATGAGTGGGAACAAGCTCTCCATGCCTAGTAGCTCAGGAGCCGAAGCCACAATAGCCCAGCTTCTGTGGAGATGAATTTGGGCTAGGTATTGTCCTATGGAAATAGGTTTTTGCCTTCTTACGAATTTAGTATTTCATTATTACTGGAATATTTTAAAAGAAAATACTCTCATTCTGTCCTCCTGAAGAAGAATCCAGTCAGGGCAGCAGGTAATACTGGCTCTCAAAGGTTGGAAAATTACCTACAAAGAAGAAGAAGAAATAAGTTATGTGTCTGAGGCATGTTGAAATAAAATCTAATATGAAGAAAATTGAAGACAGCTGGCATGCTTCCTGGTTTGCCAACAGATTTTTGTATTTTTATCTATAACTACAGATGCGTCCAAACTATGGGCTTGATCTTATGTTCATTGAAGTCATTTGCAAAATTTCCATTGACTTCAAACACCATAGTCATGATGGAAAGCCCAAGCACCCAATAATTAAAGTTTGCAAGATCAGGTCTATACTTTGGATGCATCTATAGCTAGAATGAGCAGCATTTTATAATGTAAAGTACTTAATCAGATATGAGTCAAAAAGAAATGATATAGAACATCTAACATGAAATATAAATAGTGGATGGAAAAACAACTGTTCTCTCCAACTGATATGAACCTTGCCAGTAAAACTCCTGGATTATGACCTTATACATGTAAATATGCTTTGATGATAAAAAAAATTTCCAGTGGAAATCCCATCTTCACTACACTTTTGTTATATTACTCATGAACTTAGTTTTAGACAAATTTGTTGTATATGTGATGGATCATGTATATTTGTTTTTCTTCCAATACTCCGTCAGTTAAACTAAGAACACTTCCCTTCTTTCCAGAGAAGAAGCTACAAGTAAGTCAAGAAAATGGCTTTTGAAAGTCTGATTATCCCATTTTTAATGTTCCTCAGCAGAGCTACAGCTGGTAAGCATAAATCAGCAACACTTTGACAGTAAGACATGGCATCATTTGGTGAATATTTGGTATACTCTAGCTGGGTGAATTTTTTTGAATGAATAGTTTATTTGCTGAAAAATGCAGTTTGGGGTTGACTGACACTATTTGTGAGTTTGGGTCAAATCTGGCAGATATTTTGGGCCAAACACAAACTTTTTTTTTATTGAAAAAATCTAAATGTTTCATTTCAAAAAATCAGAATGAAACATTGCAACTTTTTGTTTCGAAAAGACATTTCATTTAGAAATTTAGTTAAACAAAGAAACAAACAAAGAGTAACAAATACTTGAAAACAAAATGAAATGGAAAAAAAAAGTTTTTTGTTTCAGTCAAGCAAAACATTTTCAGCTCAAAGTGAAATTTTGTTGGATTTTCATTTCAGCAAGAAAAACTGAAGAATTTTCATTTTGGGTTGATTGGTTTGGCCACTGAACTGAAAAATCAGTTATTTGCTCAGTTCTAGTTAGGAACGCATCATGCAATGACATTCTGCTCCTTCTCTCTGTTGCAGTACTGGAATCTACAGTACATATCAGGAATTAAATAGAACAATGGATAGTTATTCTAATTAAGTTAGTAATGGGTCTGAACCAAATTCTAGACCAAACACTTCCAAAGTTTGGTAAAGTTCAGATCCAGTTCCAGACTTTGCAGTTTAGATAGACCCATCTTCAAACAGCAAAATTGTGAAAGGAGAGGAAAAAAGATGGTCTTAGAGACCAGATTCTGCCACCCTCCCTTACTAAAAGTAGTACCTTAGGTCCTGATCCAAAGTAGTTACAGTCAGCGGAACAATTCCAATTGATTAAATGGGCTTTGGATCAGGGCCTTACTCTGTAAGTAGCCCCACTGAAATCAATTAAGTAAGGTACTATCCCACCTGAATAAGGATTGCAGAATTGGGCTTTGACAGAGAGCTGGGAACTAACAGCTGAGCCAGCACTCTGATCACTTAAACACCAGTTAAATCCCCCACCCCCAGGCTGGACCTGACTGTGCCTAATTAGTGGATTAGAATGGTCTGAGGAGGACTAAAAAGGTAATTAACCCATTAACACAGACGGTAGAAGAAAGCAGAGGAAGGAAAATGTTGTGGAGGGGCAAGCTAGTGGAGTAGAACCAAAAAGGGTCTATGGAAGGAGAGATTTCTTCCCTGTACTTGGCAGAGGAGAAACTGATGCTGTAAATGATCTGGTCAGTAAAGCGGGGGAAGAGCAATGTAAATAATTATAGGGTGGTGTTTAACAATAGAAAGTCTCTGAATGATCTGTGTAGAAAGAGTAGAAGACAGGAGCAGGATCATGCTCTATCACACAGACCCTTACAGATGTTTCCTGAAGTCCATGGGGAAAAACTCCCATTTCCCACCTTCCTCTAGCCATGAAAAGTTTTGTCTGAGTAAGGGCTGAATAAAGATTTGAAAACTGGATCTTCAGATTGGAATAAATATTGATTCCCTCATATGGCCACACTCTTCAGTAGCTATTAGGCCTGCTGGAAGAAAATCTGTTTAGAAAGAAACCAGATAGACAGCAACTGTCATTAGAATCAGTCCAGTCTCCTTATCTGAAAACAGTGTTTTGCTTCCTAACCATTCTTTTTTCTGTGAAGAAGAGCTGTGCCCCTTGCGTCGCTCCATTGATGTACTTGAAGGGGAATATTTTTTCCTTTGCTTCCCTGGATCAATACAAGATAAGCTTTGCAGTAAAACATACACTGTGACCTGGTTCAAAGAAAGCGAAGGAAAGGTGAATTTGATCCAAGCAACACAGAGACTTGTTTTAAATGGGAGATTTCTGGAGTTTTGGCCAGCTGAACTCAGTGACCTGGGGAATTACATATACAAACTCAGGTGAGTACACGTGCCCAGTGGATAATGTAGAGTCTTTGCAACTGTATAAAAATAGGACCCGATCCTCTACTACCAGAACCTTGTGTAGTCATTAGCACTTATGCAAAGGGGTACAGAAAGCTACATTTACCCAAGTGGTATCATGTTACATTCATGTGCACAACTCTAAATAACTACACAGAGTGCAAAGCAGTGGAGAATTGAGCTCATAAAGTTTACAATTAATTGCAGGTAGACAGACCCTCTAAAAGTTTAAGCAAAACTTTTGTTAAAGAAGACTAGTGCTTTTTTGTTCCTCCCAGACACAGCACATTATCTATGCTTAAAAACTGATTAATAACATATTTCTTTCAACTGATATGGAAGAGTCTTACTTCCATGGGTAAGTAATGACTTACTTTGGATGATTTAGTTGGGATTGGTCCTGCTCTGGGCTGGGGGTTGGACTAGATGTCCTCCAGAGGTCCCTTCCAACTCTGTTATTCTATGATTCTACTTGCATTGAGTAAGTAACTGACTGTGTTCCCTTTGAAATCAGTGGGACTAATTGTATGTTAAGGTAACACACAAGATGAGTAAGAATGGCATAATTAGGCTCTGGCTTTTATACAGAACTTTACATCTTTGGCATTATTAAAAGCACAAATGGAATTTGTTGATTTTTAGTTGAGTATGCTCTTTCACCTCAGAATAGCTTTTACAAAGCCGTGACTCAAATGGAGCTGTAAGACTAGTGCACTTTTAGTTGTGATATTGTTCAGTAGGGCAGGAAGAAAGTGTGGTTTAACAGTGGTTAAATCAAGTTTTGAAAAGGTGAAGATGTTTCTATTATAATTGACTTATACTGAAATTACAGTACATTTCAAGACAAAGGCTAAAATAATAATTCCTTTTTAATAGTGTATTATGTAAGCAGTGGTTTGTGCTTTGATTACCGGAACATTTTAAAGGGCTCTTTTCTGTTTATAAAATACAGAGTAGATGTGTGACTGCAGATATATAGCACTGAAAAATACAAAACTCAGTTCTCCAGTAATAAAAAGGGCTAGAATTTCATGAACTACAACTTTATATTAGACCTAATTTACCAACAGAAAGCCTCCATTATTTTTTTAAATGTCCAAAAATTGTAATTAGTTTCTAATATGATTTTATTTGTTGATTTTTAAATTAACTTTATTTAAATATGAACTTAAAAATTATAGGAACGATTTTCAGAATTTCAGAACCATTATCAAAATGGTTATCAATTAATTTGCTGATTAAAAGTATTGACATTTTTCATGAAAATTGAAAAATGTCAACCATTTTTTCAAGAAATTTCATTATAGAAAAAAAGTCATTTTCAGTTGAAAATTTGCAACTGGCTTTACTGGACAATGTACTAAAAGAAATAGGTGAAATTGATTGAATTATATGTTCATGTTATAGTCTTTACTCAGCTCTTTTGACCCTGGAGAAAAATAGAGGTTCCTTAGATAAAGCAGAAACGCACCAATGAAACATTTTCACAACAAATCAGTGTTCTGATGGGAAAAGCAGACAATAAAAACAAAATCAAACAAACCAAGCCCCTCCCTCAATAAATAAATAAATAAATGAAATGAGTGCAGTTTTGTTTATTGAGGCAATTTAACAGTTTAGCACAGAGTTGACCACAGTTAGCCCCATTTCTTGTCATGAAGGTTCCTGCTACATTTGACAAGTGGAGTTGACTGACAATCTTTACCACACATCTGTGGTGTTGTTTGTATGGTTTTGTGCATCACATATCCTAAATTCCTGTGATTACCACAAATCAGGTCAAATAAGCTCTTCCATAGTTGTGACCTTGTAACTAGGTAAATTGTAAGTAACTGAAAAAAAAATTAGAGGTGGAAGTCAGTGACAAGCAAATGACACACTTTAAGGCTCTGAGCCTGCAAATACTTACGCATGTATTTAGCTTTATGCATGTATGGCCCTGTTGAAGTCAATGGGACTATACCCATTCTTGAAGCTGAACATATGCTTGCATGCTTTGGGAACAGAATGCTCAGCACTCAACTGTAAAGTGGTAATACTAAGTCAAAATCTGACCTTGATAGTGAAATGGCTGAGGGGTGATTTGTAATCTAATATGTACAGTATTTTTTTTTTTGTAAAATCTTAATTGCTACTTTATGAATTTTCACTCTCCAATGTGCTTTGCTGAGCCAGGCTACATGTTTTGAGTTTTAGTCAAATAGTGATTTTGTAATACCATATTCCCCACAAAGTACAACCAAAGAACTAAAGTGAAAGCCAAGACAGAAAGATAAAACCTCATGGAGTGTAAGAGACAAGGATGTCTCTTAATGGATGTTGACTAAAATCTTATATGTGGTAGACTGGATTGGAGATGCTCCAAGCCAAATTCATACCTAGTGTAAGGGTCGTCATCTGTAGAGTTGCACCTGTTTTACACCAGGTCTGAATTTGGCCCAACATTTTCAGTGTGTTGTGCAGCTAACTGTGAAGTTATTTCACAGAATGTGTTATCACAGAGGGAGGGCCTCTCTTATTATGCTGAGGGACTGTCTAATGGGAGGAAGTATGACCTTGCGGTTGAGCACTGTGCTAGGATTAAAAAAAGATGTGGGTTCAGTTCCTCATTCTATCACAGGCTTCCCATGATTTTGGGCAAGTCAGTTAGTTTGTCCATCTCTATTCCCCATCTGCAAATTCTAGATGATAATACTTCCCTACCTCACCGGGGTGTAGTAACAATAGATCTATTATTAATTCTCAGGTGACAAAGGTCATGATGAGCATATAAATAAATAGGTTAACTTTTCCTGCTTTCTTCGTTTTCCCTCTTGTGTTACACAACTAATTTTTAGACTGTGCCAAGCCAATTTTTTTTGGATTGGTTTACTCTGACTCCCCATACATTTATTAATCAGAACATGAGGCCAATGTTTAATCCACTCCTTTCTTCTGAAATTATGACTGTTATATAGATCATATATTTGAAAACAGTATCAGTGGGTATTTCCTCTAATAGAACTATCTCCAACTCAGTCCAGACTAAATAAAACAAAAGTAGCTTAGTATTTATTTTAGGATTCAACAGAGAAATTATATATAAAATAAAGGATGTTTAACATTAACAATGTTGTTGAGGGTCATACAGAAGGCTGATAAAACTACAAAACATATTTGGTACACTAGAATTGGGAAAACGTTAAAATAATTTGAGTAAAAGCTGAATTTGCTTTGGTGGTATTCATGGCTCTTTTTATTGCAAACATTTTTATTTGTGATATTTTTTGTTAGCAAGTATGTTAACGTAAAGCAAAAGTCTGTGAGTACTCTTGCAAATCAAGCTACTTGTTTAGATGCCTTAATGTATAATTGAGAGCTTCATTTTAGGCACCTTTTTTGAAACGTTGATTATTGCCTTTCAGTAACATTCATCTTTCCCCAATACTTTAATTCTCCCAAGACTCCTCCAGATCACATTTGGCCCACATTAATGTACATGGGAATATTCAACAATGAAAGTATTTACATATTGTATAAAAATAATTAACTCTGTCTTTCAGGTAATATGTAGCTATGAAACAAAGTGTCTTTGTTCAGTAGTAATTTGAGCTTCTCCATGAAACCCTCAGGATTTGTGAACATTTTCACAAATACTTTGCTGGTTGTCTGTACAGCAACAATGAATAATGTGACCACATGAACAACAGCAGAGTGAGCTTGCCAAGTTTTTTTGTTCATAAATATTCACAAATCACTTTTTAAATTATTATCACTACATCAAACCTTAGTGAATTAGTTGAGTAAGTCTATAAATCCACTAACTAGTCATTTTTAACTACTTGAGCATCGTTAGGCTAATTTGTATGTACACTTGCCACCATATATTGTTATATTATTATAAATAATTATGAAACTGAATGATTTCATGATTCTGTTTTGATATGCTTATCTGTTACTTAAGCTGGGCCTTCACTGAAAATAACACCTAGTTTATGTGGGGAAGTAAAGAAAAGGAAGTAAAATAAAATGGGGCAATATTGGTATGCTTTTTTTCTAATGATTATATTTTAGGTATATATTTTTTATTTTGTTGTATAATTACCCTACCTACATGACTTTAAAAAACACCCAAAATTGTTTTTTTTATTCCATAGCAATGGAACGTATAATGTCACATTACAAAAGTGGTCCCTGAATGTACTCAAAAGAAGTAAAGACAGCTGTTTTAACACAAATCATTTATCCAGGCAAGTTGAAGATGTTGGAAGAGGTTATACACTGAAATGCAATGCTGTGCACCACAATAAAAATGTCACTATAATGTGGTACAAGGTAAGTAACCAAAAATATCACCACCCAAATTAGTAGTAAAAAAAAAAAATAATGAAATGTTAGACCTTGGGAAAGGTAGATTACAAACTTACAAACATCTAAAAGGTTTCAGAGTAGTTCTACAGTCATGTAAAAATCTTCAGTAATTCTGGTAAGTGACACAGTTCTTAGTACAGACACACAAAAGAAAACCCATTTGTCTACTTGCAAAGATTTGCAAGATAAAGTATACTAGCAATTAGGAATTACTTATGATCTCAGGGTTGGGGAATGGTAAAATATTTGATGCTTGAACCTACCTGATAAATTACCCAGCCTCAACTCTCTTTAGTGCATGTGGGATCCTGACACTAAAAGGAGTGCAAAGGGACTTACCTGAGTGTTGGGATTTGCTTATATGGTAGTTGGCAGCTTGGAAGTTTTGGTGTTTCAGATCATTTATAGCATTAAGAGATGTAAAATAAATTCCATTGTTTAAAGTGAACCATAAGTCTCTTCTGTACTACAAATACACCAAATCAGGGGACCTGATTACAACAGTTGCAGTTGTAGTGAACTGTGTTCCATAATTGGGCTAAAGCCTTGGACACATTCCTTTAGTCTTCCTATCTCTTCACCATGTTGGGTAGCCCTCTCCATTCCTCCATGGATTTATATGGATACTATTTGTCCGCTCCCAACAGTTACGATCAGAGATGTTGCATGCTCATTTTGGAGCATAGGAGCTACCATATTAGATCAGATCAGTGGTCGGTCCGTCCTGTCTCTTGACAGTGGTCAATATCATTTGTTTCAGAGGAAAGTGCAAGAAATGCTGGAGTAGTCAGTTATTAGTTAACCTGCTCCAGGGAAAGTTTCCTCCTGACCCGCAATGGTTAGAGGTTGGTGTGTTCCCTGAAGCATGGGGGTTTATATCTCTTTCCAAACTCCTATTTGCTTTTTAATTTTTACTTTATAACCCTGGAAATATTTATTACCCATATAAATGTCCCATCCTCCTTTGAACCCAGCTAAGCTCTTGGCCTCAGTGGTAACTTGTGATGATGAGTCCAACAGGCTAAGTGTACATTGTGTGAAAAAGTATTTCCTTTTATCCGTTTTATATGTGCTACCTTCAGCATTCATTGAATGTCCCTTTCTTCTTGTATAATGAGAGGGTGAATAGAAGTGCCTTATCTATCTGCTTTATACCATTCATTTGTAAAGCACTGGTCTAATTTGGGAATAGTGTTCTACCAAACAGAATTTTTTGTGAAATTCTTCACAACAATTCAAATCTTTTTTTAATCAAAACCATTATTGAAATGGTTAAAAATTTTGAAAAAAAAAATGACAAAGGGGTTGTTTTGAACCCTGGAAACAATTCTGAAATGTTGATTCCCCTCACCCCCCCCCCCCATTTTTGATGAGTACTATTTCCATGTGTATGCAAATCACATTCCAACTGTGGCAATGCTGAGACACACACATGGCACACTAGAGAACAACTTCTTTGAGTAATGGATTGGCTAAGCTTGCAGAGCCTAGCCAAATTTTCGAAAAATGGATACTTAAAATTCCGTTCCTAAATCTATATTTAGACACCGTGAGTAAATGGCCTGATTTTCAAAAATACTGAGCAACCATGGGGGGATTTGAAAATGAGATAATTTTTTAAAATCTTGGTCCCAGTTTTCAACATGAGACACTCTCTGGTGCCCAAATCCTGTGATTGAGTACTCAGTTTGGTACTTAATCTACATGATTATTTTGGATTACTCTCATTTCTTATTTTGTGTGCTATATTGTCATTTGGCTGTCCCAATGCTGTATTTGGGTGCCCATGTTTGAAAATTGGACCTCAGCCTCTCTTAGCCATCTCTGAGCATTTTCCCCCAAAGGTTTCATTTTAAAATATTTATTTTCTCATTTGAAGCTTCAGAGTGTATCCATAGCATGAAAATTATTTAAATTTTCTTTATTGAAACAGAACTGTAACATCTATAACTCTGCAAACGAGAAGGAACTGGATTTTTCTAGTTTAAAGATTGAAGACTCTGGGAATTACACATGTGTTGTTTCAATTAGTCATGCAGGAAAGGCATTCAACACCACAAGTACAACAGAGCTGATGGTGAAAGATGGTAAGATTGTTTTCTTAGGCGTCTGAAGACCATATAATTAAATAGTTAATGGAGGCTTCCTATGCAAAGTCCATTTTCTCAGGCTTTGTGAAGAGGAAAGGATGTAGGTCATTATCTCTAATTGTAGATATCATTAGGTCATGTATTTATTGCATATTGTGATCAGTTCAAACTGGACAATGTTGTTCAGTCTAATTGTTGAAGAGGCACCATTTACCAATATAAGCGTGCTGAATATTTTAGAATTCAACATTAAAAATAATGAAGATGGGCTATGGACTAGAGAGAAGCTCTTTGAAATGAAGTAAAATCCTCTGAAATATGCATGATCGAGTGAACTTGAAACATGTTCCAATCTATTGTAGTTCTTGTTATGTACTGTACAGTGTACACAGAACTATATCTCTCTTCCCGCAGGGAAAGCAAAACTCTTTGACTTTGCGCTTTGACTTATTTTATAAGTAAGCTTCTTAATAATTTAAAAAGCAAAAAGAGACAAGCAAAAAAAAATCTACTGGTTTTATTTAGTCTTATGTGAATGTTCTGATTTCTCCTCCTCTCTCCCTGCCCCCCCTCGCCAGCTTCCACCTCTTCCGTTCTGTTAAATTTAGCCACAGTAATAAATGCAACGATTTCAGAAGCGGTCTTGGAGATGAATCTTTGAGGACCTCATAAATGGAACACTTTATGAGTTCATGAAAAAAATTCAACAGGACATACCATTTTGCTGTTTTAAACTACTTGGTAATGCCAGAGCATCAGCTGTTGTTACTCAGATGAAATTATACTGCTGATTCATCAGTGTTCATAAATATATTACTAGTAGGCTGAAATCTATATGATATGCTTAAGCATGGGTTTTTGAAATAGAGCCATTTGTATAATTTTACAGAGGTGGGATGTTAGAAAAATGGCATTTTAAAATATTGCTTTTTTTTTCTTAGATGCAGCAGAAGTTGTTAAATTGGAGATAATTGAACCTGGAGAAATTTATGTTGAAACACAAATAGGTATCTAATTATATAAATAATCTTTGTGAATGTATGTTGTTTTGTTCTGATCTCTATATGGTGTATGTTTAGTGAAACTCAGAACTGTCTGCAAGTTCTCTTTGCTCAGATCCATAGCTACCTACTGGGCCAAGTGTTGATTTGTGGCTTCCCTATTTCAGATGAGTCATCATTGATAGTAACTGGCATAAACATTCACTGAGTTCAGCTACCTTGTTCAAGAGGAAACCGAGATGCTCACTATGGCCAGAAAAAGGAAGTTCTAGTCACGTTTCCTGGTTCTGTAGACCTCAAAGCCACATTGGATGGCTGACACAGGAGGGATAGGTCATCAAGTGGATAGTAAGGCAGAGCGACCCCTTTAATGTGTGGTTCAGTGTGTTTTAGGATGCCTTTCTGTACAGAGACATGGAAAGTAGGAAGGTTGGCAAACCTGTCAACACAGCCAGTTAGGCAGACCTGTCTGAACTGCAGAAGAACTACTGTAGTACACATTTGTGCCAAGAGCACTAGTAAAGCCAAAATCTTGTATGCCCCAGTGGATAGGAGCAGTGCATTAACTAGTGTGTGGACACATACTTTGCGTGGCGTAAAACAGGTTAGTTTATTTAAAAACATGTTAGAGCTACACTTTAGGTGAGTAGCGGATATAGTTTTCAATCCCTGCAAACTGTGATTCAGTATTTAATGTGTGTAGTAGCTGAGTTAGACAGATTTTCATATGGATCCTATAAGGAGGATTCTAAAAACAATTCCATTTGAACCGTGTGCTGTGACAATGGTGCTCAATCTACGTCAACTTCCTATAGCCATTTATTTAAAATGTGCCTGCACAAACCTTACAGTTTGACAGCTACCTTATAAAACATGCAGAGATATTTTAAATGAAGTTACTTTGTGGATTATGAGGACAAAGTACCTTGGAAGTGTGGATGGGTACTGACATTGCATTCTTGGAATGATGTTTTAAGTTAAAAAATAACTGCAGATCAGGCTTCATGTGACAAATTCCTTAGAAAATTGGCTTTCTAGTAATACCTGAATCTCAGTGGGTTAGAAAATGATCTCTTTGAATTCTTTGAGAACAGCATACCACATACTGTTCTATATGGTGTCCTTGATCATCTACAGATGGGGGGAAAATACTCTGAGTTGTCTTGGTACAAGAACTGGCCCAGGGACACAATTAACTTTTAGCACAACTGGTCCTTTGATTGCAGCTTAGTCTGGACTCAGTTTAGCCTCATATACATTGATGCAGATGATACATTGATTGATTCTTATTGGCTGCGAAGCTTGGAGGAGGTCAGCAACACATACTTCCTGCTCCTAGAGTCTGAGGCCTGGATCCAGAAAAGGTCTTTAGTGTTGCAATGCTGAGCATCACAGTGCCTAACTTCTAAGTGCCTAGAAAATTACAGGAACACCATTGCAATCCACAAAGCTTGAGTTAGGTTCCTAGGCTCCTTATGCAATGAATGGGGAGATCTAGGCAGCTTACAATGTGATCCCCAAGCCAGAATGCTAGGTGGGTACCCACCTAAACTATCCAATAAGAGATGCTGATGAGAGGGGTGTGTTCCAGGGCATGGAGGCACCTGTCTCTGCTTAATTATCCATGAATGGGAACTCACCACCTGGAGTCAGACAGTTTAGGCACCTAAGGCATTTATTGAGGTAGGTACCTGCCTTACTGCCATCCACCAGATGTCTGAAGGAGTTGGTGGTGCCCACCTTATACCTTTTACCCCAGTGGTTAGAGCACTCGCCTGGGATGTGGGAGCCGCAGGTTCAAATCCCCCCGTCTCTGCCAGAGGGGAAGAAAAGATTTGAACAGAGGATCTCCCACTTCTCAGGCAAGTGTTTGAACCATTGGGATATTCTTGTCTGGGTTCTCTGTCTCTCCTATTGAAGTTCTTCCATTGTGTTTAAATGATGATCTCTCTCTTTCTGTCTCTGGCCCAATGACTGTTTAAGTATTTATCCACAAAGGTGTGGCCACTGGGCAAGAGCAAGCGAGAAAGTGAGCAGAAACTCTGTAGCCTGGTGGTTAGGAAACCCATGTGGGAGACCCAGGTTGCAGTCCCCCTGCTCGAATTGTTCCTCCGTTATTTATCCATAGTGCAACAGGAGAGACTGAGAGAGCCCCACATCAGCCTGTCTCATAGCTTGGTGGGTAGAGCACACTTCTATGCGATGGGAGACCCATTTTCAAATCCATTCTCCCCTTCTGGCAAAAGGGGGAACTGAATTCTGGTCTCCCATGTCCTATGTGAGTATGCAATCACTGGGCTAAAAGTTACAAGAACAGCATCACCACAGCCTCCTCTGTCCAATTTTGAATGGGACCCAGTTTGGTAGGTGGCCACTGAGCAAGCCTATTAGATCTGGCCCCACACACTTCTTGGGTGGATGAATGTCTGTCTTTCCCAAGTTTGTGAATCACTCTGGGGCTTAGGTGGGAGATGGGTGTCTGGATGCCTAGAGAGATGCAGTATGCTCAAAGGCAGAAACTTAGGCACCATGGGATCTGTTACCCTGACATAGGCCCAAGTGAGTTTAGGCACCTACAAGGTTCAGCAGGAGTTTTGAGGATCACAGTGGTGCCAAAACTGGAACTTAGGCACCTAAACCCCAAGCCTCTTTGGAACTGGGCCCGAGCCACCAAACAATGCCCACGGAGTTCTAAAATCAGGCAGCTATTTGACCTCTCGGTTTACGTTGCATACAGTGCATAGCAATAACAAAACCAAGAATGTTTCTCTGAAAATGAAATGCCTGTGCTATTAAATTAACCTTACAGTTTTTGAGAGTCTCTAAGCTGATTACTTTCACAATACATGGGCAAACGTAGTTGCAAAATGTCGGCACCTGTAGCTGACACAGCTACAATGCTTCATCATTGCACAGAAAATAGCTTGTGATGTAGGGATATTTCTTCTAGTATGGAAGACTTTTGTGTGGAGATGTGAGAGAAGGCTTTTGTAATCTTGTGGGTCACCTACCCATCAGAAACCTGGTTTGAATATATATTGTTAGTTAAATATCAGGGGCATATAAGGTGTTAAGATGGAAATGGCTCATCACCCCTCAACTATAGGTCATCTGAATGTCTATCAGTTGAAAATTGCCATCAGCTGAAGTGATCCAAATGCATTGCTAGTATCTCAACTGTTAAAGGGCTCAAAATGCTTTAAGGAGTTCAGTCAATTTTCAGTGCACTTGTGTGGATACTGTAATACACAGAAAGGTTGGCTATATTTTTCGACATGCCGGAAGCCACACTGAAGGTTGTCCTATGACATCCAGATTGCATCTCTGGCAATCAGACTCCCCATTGCATTGTGAACGTTTGCACTATTCCTATGAGCGGATGTTAATTTTTATATTGGTTTGCCTAGGTAAAGAGGTGGTACTCAACTGCACAGTTTTCTTGGGTTACTCAGATGCTGCCAAGCCAATATACCTCCTGCACTGGGTAGTCAAAAATTTAAATTCATGTTCAGAGAGCACTAAGGAGGAACAATCAATATGTGAAAAGGAGTATGATTTGTAAGTATGTTTACTGCAAAATGTTTTTCTTCAGTGTTTGTGCAATATAACATACTGCATTTTGTGTTCTGCTAGTTAAGTGTAACATCTGAGTTTCCTTCAGTCCTGTCTCTCACAATCTACCTATCAGCTGGCCATAGGTTTCCATGCAGGATGTCTGTGATCATGACTTTTAATGTAGCTTAACATTTTTTTTTAAGACTGTCAGGTTTTCACTGTATGTACATGTGCAATGCTGTAGGCATAGTCATAATTATGCTGGAGTCTCCCATTGTTCTGCTCTTTGCCTCAGTAGAGGCTTCCTTGGCAGTAGCGTCGATGTACACTCCAGCAGGAGTGTAACTGTGAAAATTAACAATGAGAAGGGGAGAGAAATATGTATCAGTAGTAGAGCTATGCAGGAACTAGAATTTCTGTTCCACAAAACATTCTGAGATATTGAAATTTCAAAATTTTCCAAGAAAGGAAATTATTGAAAAAAAAATTCGTTTTGGGACAGTGAGACTGGTTCTGTTTCATTTTCGTAACAATGAAACATTTTGTTTTGAATTTGATTTTTTTTTAAAATTTCTAAACTAAAAATTGTTTTAACGTGATGAATCAGAAAAAAATCTGATTTTTTTTTCTAAATGAAAATTTGTAGAAATCAACACATTGCATCAGACATTTTCTGATGAAAAAACATGGTCAGAATTTTTTAAACTAGCTCTAATCAAGAGCCATTTGGTGGGTAAACTATACTCCGATTCCAGGGGCCTGAAAAGTGTCACACATCCTGTACTGATGTGCATGTTATGAACATGCCTAGAGCTCTAGCGGTTGTGAGCTGTTGTACATTCAGCTCAATGATGACTGAACAGATTGTCATTAGCTTGTTTGAATAGTCCAGGAAGGAGAACTATCAGGCTTCCCCATACATATTAGAGTTAGGGGCTGGCTGTTTCATTTGAAAATGGGGAAACTGAAGTTACCCAGAGGCTGCAAAGGCATCCAGCCTCTTAAATACTGGCTAATTTTATTTAACTGTTGGATGTGTGAAATGCCAGTTATTGGCCAACTGTTAGCTTTAGCACAAGTGAAGCTCTGTGCCTGATTAAGGGGAGGAGCTGTTTGCTGTGAGGATAGAGTGATATTTTCCTCTCCAGTTGACTGGGCTTTAAATATGGAAGTTACAGAGTATGATGATAGAGGTGGGGCTAGCTATGGAACGAATATTGAACATGCTAGATCTTCAGAAGAAGACCTGTGTTGCACATGGACAAGTGTTGGGATTGATTTTGCTTGACTTGTTCATGTGTCTCTAGCTCATTTACTACATTGGATTGAACTGCTATTTGAACAAGTGGTGTTTTACTCCTCGCCCAGAGATCAAATTTTAAAGGTTAAAAGACTGAAGTCTAAAAGATTGTGTGTTGGTAGCATTTAAAATTGGTGGGTGGTTAAGAAGATTTGGGGTCTGAGAGAGAGTCTTTGTTTTAAAGGATATAGAATAGATAAAGTAAAAAAGAACCAGTAAGAGAATGATTATCTGAATGGTTCTCTCCCTTGCCTCCCCGCCAGTTACAAGAAAGGGTAAGGATAAGGACTCTTCCAAAAATTCTGTTGGTGCAGATGTACCAGGCTGGGTTGGCTCTAGATTCTAATGCACAGAAGTTAACAGGTAATCAAAGAATTGAAGAAGAAAGAATTGGGGAATTAATTATAACTGTAAATCCAGTGGGGCGATTTGTATTGGTAACTTATAAATTGAGACTGCGAGTACAGAACTGACTTGACCAGCTAGATGGTGCTCTACAGAGCTTTTATAAAATTGTTATTAAAATTATATCATGGAACATTAACAGCCTCAAAAGTAAAGTTCGTGATCTGGAACTTAAAACTTATTTAGTGCAATTTGATATAATATTTTTACAAGAAACCTGGCTTACCAAAGATGAATCTTTGTATCTCTCAGGCTATGAATTTTGTTTGGAAGGATCTATTAAACATGTTAGAAAGGGCAAATCAGTTACTGGTCAAGCCCTTTTCATTTCTATCAATATCCTGCTATAGCTATACTAATATATAGTATTAGTTCTGGGTAAATCCTATCCTCAAGCTTGTACTATCATCTTTCTAGATAATATTTTAATGAATGCTCATTTGATTCCCCTGTTACAATGAAGCTATATGGGCAGAGTTAGAATCTATTATTGAGATGCTGGCTGCTTGGAAATTATCCAATTCTTATAGGTGATTTTCATGCTCAGTTGGGTGGGGAAGATAAGAAATTGCAGCGTCTTTCAAATAGTACTTTTAATGACCAGTTGTTTGTCCTTCCCCCAAGAAATTCTAAAGATAAAGTAATAAACTCAGCAGGCTGGATATTTTTGGTGATTTTGAACAGATTCGGGCTGGGAATACTAAATGGTAGGGGCAGTGATGACATAGTGGGTCATTTGATTTATACCTCTCTTAGAGGGGCAAGTATGACTGACTATACTGAAGTTCCAATTTTAAGTTGGCCTTGTTTTGCTAACTTTTCAGTGGCCCTTAAATATGATAGTGACCTTCTACCCCTCCAGGTTAATTTTTGCTATCTGGCCCCATTACATCAGCTGATCCCTGTTGGACAGTATTTCACTTCTAATTTCAAAGCCTTACATGCAAGGCGAAGTAAGTGTAATCCATTGGTTAAATCTAAAATTAAAGAGACTCTCTCCTGTAATTATCAGCTAGGGTGAAAAAAAACCACATCTTTTAGACCTTAGAGATGTGCATATATCACTTAATGTGTATAACAATATTGTACATAAATTACAGGTACCAAAAAGGGTTATTCCTTCCCTCTGAAAGATAAAATAATTTGATATGACAGCAATTGTTTTCATAAAAAAGAAAACTGTTAGATGATGGCAAGGGAGGCCAGGAAAGGAAGCTCACAGGATTCCACCCAAAAGCTAGTTAATTTTAGGAAGCTTTATAAAAAATTGCCAAAAGAAAAAAGATGGAACATTGCATGGCATTGTGGAAAGAATTCAAATTTGCTGCCAAAATGAAAAATTCTTTACTTTTTTGGAAACTGGTAGCAATGGGTTCCAAGAAGATCAGGAGTAATATTTTTCTGTACTTCATAATGATAGGCCATCTATCACGCCGTCTGGAGTGGCTCACGACCCTGAGTCCCTACCTCAGGGCAGACTGTCAAAAAAAGGGCAGACCCCAAACTGGTGGTATGCCCTATAATTATATTTCACTAAGCCACAGACAAATGTGAACTCCTGGATCATAGAAGATTAGGGTTGGAAGAGACCTCTGGAGATCATAGAGTCCAACCCCTTGCAGGACCAACCCCAACTAAATCATCCCAGCCAAGGCTTTGTCAAGCCGGGCCTTAAAAACCTCAAAGGATGGATATTCCACCACTTCCCTAGGTAACCCATTCCAGTGCTTCACCCTCCTAGTGAAATAGTTTTTCCTATTATCTAACCTAGATCTCCCGCACTGCAACTTGAGACCATTGCTCCTTGTTCTGTCATTTGCCATCACTGAAAACAGCCTAGCTCCATCCTCTTTGGAACCCACCTTCAGATAGTTGAAGGCTGCTATCAAATCCTCCCTCACTCTTCTCTTCTGCAGACTAAATAATCCCAGTTCCCTCAGCTTCTCCTCATAAGTCATGTGCCCCAGCCCCCTAATAATTTTTGTTGCCCTCTGCTGGACTATCTCCAATTTGTTCACATCCTTTCTGCAGTGGGAGGCCCAAAACTGGATGCAGTACTCCAGATGTGGCCTCACCAGTGTCAAATAGAGGGGAATAATCACTTCCCCTGATCTGCTGGCAATGCTCCTACTAATGCAGCCCAATATGCCGTTAGCCTTCTTGGCAACAAGGGCACACTGTTGACTCATATCCAGCTTCTCGTCCACTGTAATCCCCAGGTCCTTTTCTGCAGAACTGCCACTTAGCCTGTCAGTCCCCAGCCTGTGGCAGTGCATAGGATTCTTCCATCCTAAGTGCAGGACTCTGTACTCGTCCTTGTTGAACCTCATCCAATTTCTTTTGGCCCAATCCTCCAATTTGTCTAGGTCACTCAGGACTCTATCCCTACCCTCCATTATATCTACCTCTCCCCCCAGCTTAGTGTCATCTGCAAACTTGCTGAGGGTGCAATCAATGAAGATGAAGATGTTGAACAAAACCAGCCCCAGGACTGACCCCTGGGGCACTGCACTTGATACCAGCTGCCAGTTAGACATTGAGCTGTTGATCACTGCCTGCTGAGCCCGACGATTTAGCCTGCTTTCCACCTTATAGTCCATTCATCCAATCCATACATTTTTAACGTGCTGGCAAGAATTCTGTGGGAGACCATATCAACAGCTTTGCTAAAGTCAAGATATATCACATCCACCGCTTTCCCCATATCCACAGAGCCAGTTGTCTCATCATAGAAGGCAATCAGATTGGTCAGGCATGACTTGCCCTTTCGGAATCCATGTTGAATGTTCCTGATCACTTTCCTCTCCTCCAAGGGTTTCAAAATGGATTCCTTGAGGACCTATTCCATGATTTTTTCCAGGGACTGAGTTGAGGCTGTAGGCCCTCGGATTCTCCTCCTCCCCTTTTTTAAAGATGGACACTATATTTCCCTTTTTCCAGTTGTCCGGGACCTCACCCAATCGCCACAAGTTTTTAAAGGTAATGGCCAATGGCTCTGTGATCCTAAATAGTCCTTAACCTGTTCTTTCACCACTGAGGGCTGCTCACCTCCTCCCCATATTGTGCTGCCCAGTGCAGCAGTCTGGGAGCTGACCATGCCTGTGAAGACCAAGGCAAAAAAAGCATTGAGTACTTCAGCTTTTTCAACATCATCTGTCACTAGTTGCCTCCCCCATTCAGTAAAGGTCTCACACTTTCCCTGACCACCTTCTTGTTGCTAACATACCTGTAGAAATCCTTCTTATTACCCTTCACATCCCTTGCTAGCTGCAATTCCAGTTGTGCTTTGGCCTTCCTG